CGGCCCCGGTGGGAACGAGGGGCCCCACAGGGGATCAGCCCCGAGGTGGCGAGGCGACCCCGTCTGCCAGCATGAAATGCCAGAAAGTGCCAGAAAGATGCAAGGGCTTGAGAATAGTTCCCCTTTCCCAGCTCCTGTGGAAGAAGCCAGAGCCGTGCCGGGGCCTGCCTGTGCCGGAGGAGCTGTGGCGGGAAGGCATGCTCGTGCAGGCATGGGGCACAGACACTTCCCCTGCAGCCTCCACATTTCATCTGACTCAGCGCATCCGAGATCAAAAGCTCCCCCTGACAGCCCTTCTGCAGAGGCCCAAACCTGCCATCTCAAACGTCACCGCCAGGGCCGGTAAGCGCCGCTCCCTCATTCTCTGTGGCCCTGGGCAGCGCCAGGGGACAACACAGATCAGCTCCCTGCCTGGGCTGGCTGTCTCCTCACGTGGCACGGGGTCTGGCACAAAGACACAGTCTGTGGTATGTGGCTTTTACACAGTTGCCAGCAGCCGCTCATAGAACCCCTCGAAGAAGCAGCCATTCCCGCCCCGGGGTTAAGGAGGGGGAACTGAGGCAGCAAGGCTGGTGATGGCCACTGGCCGTGGAACAGGGTCTGCGCTCAGGCACCAGACAGCAGGGCTTCACTTGCCTGGCACTCTGCTGCCTTGGACAGGTCCTTGCCTGTGACCGCCTGCAGGGTGCTGGGCTCTGGCCTGTGACTGCCCAGTGCTGGCCCTGGCAAGGCTCCCAGGAGGCGGGGCTCAGCAGCCCAGTCATTCTGGGCAGGTGTCTGGGCCTCAAAAAGAGCCCCAGACCCCAAACTCCCAGGCCTCAGAGGCCTCAGATGAGAGAAGCACCCGAGACCAGAGGCCACAGAGCACCCCACAGTGCCCCGAACTGCTTTCAGGATCTTCATGGGCCACAGTATTTCAAAATGTACCAAATGTCATCATCGTATAAGGGCACCCAACATGTATTTTAGTTTCCCAGGATTCTGCCCCTGCCCTGCACAGCACCACATGAGGGAACATCTGTCTCAGGCCCTGTGCCGTCCACCGCTGGCCAGCCACTGAAATCTCGCCATGGGGTTTGGCCCGGCCAGGCCTATCATCTTGTTCTCTGACAGGCACCCGCTAACAGACAGCCTGGAGGGTGGCAGCTCTGACTGGCCCTGGCAGGCACCGGGGTGGCCCCTTCTCCGCATGGTCCAGTGCCCCATGCTGGGGGTGGGGTGAGGGCCATGGCCAGCCCCTCCGGACACAGCCCCAGCCTGGGGGCTGTTCTCAGCCATAGCCAGCTTTCTCCCCGCCAGCCTCTGCACCTGACCCCTGAGCACTGGTGGGGAGCCAGTGCCGGCACAAAGGCCCCATTGGCTGGCACACCCTCCTCTGCAGGCCTGGGGCTGAGAGAGGAAGAGACTTGCTGGAGGTTTCAGGTGTCACCCCACCCCATCCCCCACAGCTGTGAGGTTCTCTGGATCCCTGGGCTTCACCTAGAGAGGTCCAGGGGGGACCAGGGGCTCCAACATACGCTCCACAGCCAGACCCAGGAGGGTTTCCTTCCTGAGTAGAAGCAGGCACCCCTCCCCCAACACAGTGAGTTCCAGGGGGGACCGGGGTCTCCAACATACGCTCCACAGCCAGAACCAGGAGGGTCTCCTTCCCGAGCAGAAGCAGGCACCCCCTCCCCCCACCCAGTGAGAGGGGGTGGGGAGGGTGCTGTGGTGGCCCCTCTCTCTGAGCTGCCTGCATACCCCCTGCCCCCACACAGTGAGGGGGGCGGGGGCGGGGGAGGGTGTTGTGGTGGCCCCTCCCTCTGGGCTGCCTGCATACTCCCTGCCCCCACACAGTAGGGGGGCGGGGAGGTTGTTGTGGTGGCCCCTCTCTTTGGGCTGCCTGCAGGCTGCAGCTTCTACCCCAACCCAGCCCATCCCCTACTGTCTGTCCTTAGCAATCAGGAGCTGCTCCCAGGGCAGTGGTGCTATTGCTCATATCACAGGTTCCCCCGGTACTCCCAGGGCCCAGAGAACCCAGCCTTTTCAACAGTCCAGGTGAAGACAGAACAAGGCACTCTGAGGGAGAAAGTTGGTGTGGATGCAGCATGACTACATGAGAATCACACATGTGCGGGGGGCGTGTGTGTGTGTGCATGTACACAGGTGTGCCCCCGCACTTGTGTGTGACTGGGAATGTGCACCTGTGTGCACAATTGTGCGTGCCCATGTATGCATGCGCCTTGCACTTTTAAATGGAGCAGCAGCGGGTGAGGTGGGGCTCTCCCGGACTGGCCCCCAGTGTCTGGCGCCTGTACTCTGGAGCAGGGCAGTTCGCTCCTTCTAGGTTTTCCTGCAGAGGATTTCCCCCGCTCTGCTTTCATTTATAGGAAAACAGGAGTACCCTGAAAAACAAGTTTTGCTGAAATTCAAAACTATCTTCCAAAGTCCCTGCATCTGAATCCTGAAGACTCCCCAGTGGGTGAGCCGAGGAATGAGACCACCTTCTACGGGAGGGTCTCTCCCGTTACCTAGGTGCTGTGTGCCCTGGGGTGAGCCACACCCATGGAAGCCAGGTCACTGAGGCCCAATCCCCGCAAGGCTTCAGAGGGAATGGGGAGTGAGGTGCAGGGACCCTGCCTTGTACCCACACCACTGGGCTCTGTGCTCACCACCAAACAGGAGGAGGTCCTAGTGGTGAGCAGGGGCAGGATATGCACCTTCTGGGGGCTGCAGGGGGGCGAGGGGAGAGCTTGATGCAGTGGTGGAGTGTGGGAGAGGCTCAGAGACAAGGCAACTCATGAGACCAGGCTCCTGGCGTGGCCATGGGCATCAGCAACTGCCGCTCTTCCTCAGCCCATTCTGACTCTGAAGCACTGACTACAAGCACCTCCCGGGGGCCATGGCCATGTCGCACACACGAATTTACCAGAGGAGAAACTGCAGGTAAGACTGCAGCACCTGATTGCTGGGTGGCAATCAGGTGGTCAAGTGACCACCGAGCCCACAGGTTCCTGATAAGAGGGAAAGGCACAAACACCATTCAAGAACCTCAGCATCACAGCGACCAATCCTGACACAAAAAAGCAAAAGACTTTTCTAGGGGTCAAGCGCAGCACAGAGACACGGAAAGATGCATCATTCTTGGCCAGATAAAAAAAATGTGCAAATCAGCAAACCGGGCCTCAGGCCTTCAACTCTCAGGGGTGCTTTTTAACTTTTGAGAACAACTCAAACCCTTGCCAGAGTCAGCATTTCAGACACATTAGCTCTTCTCCAATAACCCCTAAAGGGGGCGACTGTTTTCCCATTTCACTGGGACTTGGTCCTGCAGGGACTGGAACCTGGGCTGCAGGTGGCCTGGAGCCTGAGTTCTCTCCGGGTTGGGGGAGGGGTGTGTGGGCAGTATCCAGGCCCCTCTCTGGGGCTGCTTCCGCTTCAGCCTCCAGGACACCCGCCTTCCACATTCCATTAGACACCTCCAAGGGGCCTTCCTGCCCCAGAGTGCTTGAGGCTGGGGCAGGCCCAGGACAGAAGAGGAACGCACAGCCCATTGGCTGAACGGTAACTTTCCCAGCTGAGGTCTGCACTGACTTTACACCCCACTCTTAGATCTCAAGATTGCATCTCACCGAAGTTCGCATAACAGTTTTTGGTTTTTCTATTAAAAGGCAAAATCCATCACCTTTTACATCTCCTCCTTGATAACATTTCATAAGCTCGGGGCTTGGGCCCCAGCGTCTTTCCTTTCCTTTGTCCCTGTGTGATTTTAAACATCCCGCCCAGGGAGCCCTGGTCTGGGCCCTGCGGGTGCTGGCGGCCCGGCTCAGAGGGCAGCTCTACAGCCTGATTAATGGCCCCGAGTGACCCTGGGCCGCGGTGGGGAAGGAGCTGCGTGAGCTCGCACAGCACGGCCTTTCTCCGCCAGTGTTTCACCCCCTGCAGTTCACCCAGTAAATGAGGAATTGTCCACGACTCAACACGCAGGTGTTTTCAGTACATCTACTTATAAGGTAGCTACGGTTTTGAAAGGTCTATGCTACTATTTAACCTGATGACTAAGTCGATTGGAAACAATGAAACAAATTATTACAAGAATCCAGACGACATCCCTCCCTCCCTCCCCCTTTCCTGCTTCCTCACCCGCTGTAGCAAGCAGGTGGGGAGTCGAGTCGGAGGCAGGGGCTGGCTGCGTGGACCCCCGGGTGGGATTCCACCCGCGACAAGGCACCCAGGCCCTTTGGGCGGGGCTCCCCGGGGTCAGCGTCCCCGCCGCCTCCCCCGGGCCTCTGCTGGGCTGGCTGGAGGCAGGAGGACCCGGCCAGCAGCGTGGTGGGGAACTGGGTCCTGGGGTTGGCGGCAGGAAGGTCCCCACGGGCCCCGCGCACAGTTTGCCGCGCACGGGAAGCGGCGAGGCCGGCAGGGCAGCGGCTTCTGGGCATTGTTCTCGGGCCGCGCGGCGCTCGGTGGCATCAAAGGGGACCGCGCAACCCGACACCGCGGCGGACGCGGGGACAGAGGCGCACAAGGCCCGGCCCGCGGCGAGGAGCCTGGGAGCCCGCGCGGCTTCGCTTCAACAGGTTGGAAACGCGGAGACGACGCCCCGCGCTCCACCGCCTTCCGCCCGCGGTCAGTCCCGGGACCCGGCGCTGCGGGGACGAGGCCGTGACGGCGACACAGGCCGCGTCTCCCGAGACCCCGCGGCCCCGCCCCGAGCCCTCCCGGCACCGATGCCCCCGCCGGCCGCGGAGGTTGGGTCACCGCGCGTGGACTCCGGCCGCTCGCACCGCGCACCCCGCCCGGCCCGGACCCCGCGGGGAGAATGAATGGGCGGGACTCCGGCAACCCCGCCCCGCCCGCTCCGTCCGGCTCTGGCGCCTCCTGCGCGCGTGGGCAGGGCCGGGGCTGAACCCAGAGCGGCCGGGGCGGGGGTGAGCGAGCCGGGCGGGGACCCCAGCCAGGGCGGCGAGGCCGGCGGGGACCGGCGTGAACCTTCCCGTCCAGCCCGGGTCTTACCTGGCTCCACGGAGGCCGCGCAGACCCAGAGCAGCAGGAGCAGCGGCGCACGCACGTCCAGGAGGCGCCGCCGCCGCGGCCACAGCCAGGGACACCTGCGCGGGACAGGCACGGGTCAGGGCCCCGCAGACCTCCGCCGACCCCCGTGGGCCCCCGCAGCCCCCGCCATCCGCCGCCCGTCCGCAGCCGCACCTCGGGGCCCCCCGACCCCTGCCCGCAGCCCCAGCCGCACCTCGGCGCCATGCTCTCCCCGGGAGCCTCAGCGCCGCGGGATGCTGCCTCCTCCGCCGCGGTGCACCCGCTCGGACCGCCGCGCTCCAGCCGCCGCCGCTGAGAGGCCGGGCAGGGGGCGGGCGCGGGGCGGGGACGGGCGGGGGGCGGAGCGACGAGCCGGGCCGGGCCACGCCAGGGGAGGGGAGAGGGGGCGGGCGCCGCCGCGGGCGTGCGGCTGCGAAGACTGGGCGGGCTGGGACCCGGGGGCGGCGGGGACGGGCGAGGGCGGACAGGGACGCGCCCCGCCCCGAGGGAGCTGCCTGAGGCTGAGACCCAGCGTAGGGGCCGGGGGCTGCCCTGCGAGGAAGCCCAGGTTTATGCGGAAGGTGACCACCGCCGCCCGCCGGGCTACGACCCCAGCCCCTGAGGCCGGTGGGGCAGCGGGAAGGAGGGAGATTTGAATAAAGACATTAACCGCGGAGGCGGGAGGACAGGATGGAGGAGGAGGCCGAAGCCTGCACCTCCTGCCCCGCAAAGCCCCTGCAGGATCCTGTCCCGGCTGCACGGAGGGACGCGAGACAGGAGGGGCGTGCGAGGGGCAGCTCTGTCCCCAGGTCCCCCTGTCCCGAGGACCCGGCCCAGCAGAGCCCCTTCCTCCCCAGTTCCCAGGCTCCTCCTCCCTCTCAGGTGAAGACCCTGTTTCCATTTCTGCAGGGCCAGCATCCTGAGCCCCACCTGCGGGCCCTGAGCGCCTTCCTCCCGGCAGCTGTGCCCCCACCCCACCGGACCGCTCCCTGCAACCAGAGAGCCCTCACTCACACCAGCAACCCCCTGCCACGCACCTGCTCCCTCCTGGTGCGCACAAAACTCATGGCACTGACTTGACAGCTTTCTCTAAAACCCTGATTCCACCTTGGCCCATCCACACTGTCCCTTCCCGGCCGGGGCTCATCTCCTATGCCTGGACCAAGCAGCATAGTCTCCTGTCTCCCTGGTCTACCCACACGTGGCCCCACCCATCCTCTGAAGCAGCCCCAGGAGGAAGCAGTGACTTCACACTTCTAGTGCCCGGCCCTCTGGGCTTGCTTGCCAGGGTCCTCCCAACCTGACCACTGCCTCCCACCTCCTCTCCACTCCTGTGGCTTTCCAGCCGCAGCTGCACGGCCTGCTTGGGATTCTCCTCTGCTGGCATCATCCCTGCCTGCCTCAGCCTTCCCAGGCCCAGTCCTGCCCAGTCTCACCCCTTCCCACCCATCCACCTGGCCAGGTCCCCACCAGCATCTGCCTTCAAACCTGGAATCCTTCTCTGAGTGCTTGTGGTCCACTGTGAGGAAGGAAATCAATTTAAAGGATTATGACCCACATTTTTTTAAAAATAAAAAGATTAAGGAGAACAGCATAGAGTAGAAGTGGTCATCACACACTCTTCTGCAAAACTTTTGTTTCTTAGGTGGACGGAGGAGTGAGTGTGTGGTGTATGTCAGGATCTGGTGGTGTCTCTGCAGTGCAGTGGGTGTGTCTGAGTGTCTGCTGTGTGTGTGTCTGTGACTGTATCTTGTGTGCATGTGTCTGCATGTCTCTGTGTGCTGTGTCTGTGCATGTGTGTTTCTGTAACTATGTACAGTGTGTGCATGTGTGTCAGTATGTGTGTGTGTGTGTGTTGGGGGTGTTCATGTGTCCTGGGTCCTGGTGGCATCTCCTCTCTAGGCTCCTGGCCTGTCTGGCGCCCTGTCCATTAACCCTGCAGTGCAGGTCTCTTTCACCTCTTCCATGTCACCTGCCCTGGGGCGCCACTTCCACCCAACCCAACCCATTCCTAAGTCTTCCGTCAGGGGAGGCGCCTGCTGCCAGGGGAAGCAGGTCTCTGCAGGTGTGGCCTGATGCACGGCCCTGGGGGCCTGTCTGCGGCTCCCGGGAGGGAGGGGCTGGGGCAGGGCGGGTGCCAGCCCACCTGTGGCCTGAGTTGGCCTACCTCTCTCCCGCCCCACTCCCCACCTTTGGGGACTATAGGATGCAATCAGTAGGAGACACAACTACTAAGAAACACATGTGACTGCTCACCTGGTAGCTGTAGAACTCTTTTTGCTCATTTGTTTCACTTGGGGCCTTACCTTGGTCTCATGGCTGCGTCGCCATAGGCCCTGCAGCGTCCCCTCTATTAGAGTTGTATTGTTTCCTTTATAGACACAAGTGATACGTGATCACCATGGAAAAATCAACAGAAAATGCAGAAACACATGTAGAAAATAAGACCAAAAGTTTCTCCGTTCACCTTACCTCCTCCCAGGCCCTTCTGCACAGACACCCGCAGGTGCTCTGAGGGCAGCGCCCACTGCCCACGTGGAGCTCTGCTCAGCCCTGTTTGTCCCTCCGCCAGGGTCCCAGAGGCTCTGTGCCCTCTGGTAGGGGCAGGCTCAAACCAGTGTCCCCAAAGAGACAGGCATGCCAGGTGCCTGGGGGATTTTGGAGCACAGATGTGGGCAGCAGGAGAGTGGCCATGGTGCAACCAGCACAGGTGTGGGTTGCAGGGACCAGGGGAGGGCTCATGGGCTGTGGAGGAGTGGGCTGTGGGGGGGCGCAGGGAGGAGAGAGCGTCCAGGACTGAGGGCAACTCCAGCAAAGGTCCTGGGGTGGAGCAGGTGGAGCAGGCTTAGGACTGTGTCTGAGTTCCAAGAAGTGGTAGCAGATTCCTCAAGTCTGGGCCCTGCACCACAGGTGTCTGTCTTTCTTCCTGGGCAGGTGGGCCTGGGATGGAGTTGGTGGGTTTGCAGGGAAAGGTGGTACAGACAGGGAAGGGGCTGCACTCAGGCTCAGAGGAGCTGCCCAGGCCATGGCTACAACCCACTATGCAGCCCTCTAAGGGGCCCCAGGAGCCTAGGAAAGGTTCAACTTTTGTGAGGGGCTGCACCCCTCCTGACATGGAGCAGACCCAGCCTCAGCCCTGGCTCTGGCCCTGAAGGGGCTTTAACAGCACAGACTCAGGCCCTTGGCCTCAGCGCCCACCCCAGCAGCCCTTCATGCCTGAGACACCAGAGGAAAACAGGTGGACGTGGGGAGTGCTCGCCCAGCTGGCCCAGCGCTCCCTGGAGGCACAGTGGGATCCAGGCTGCAGGAATCGTCCCTCCTCCCTGTGCCCAGCGGGCCCTGCCCCGAAGAGCTTGCTGTGTACTATGGAAGTAACTTTTCATCCAGTAAGGAAGAAAACTGTCGCACAGGCAGGGCAGGTTGTGAAAAGCACAAACATGTATCCCAAAATCAAGTTTTCTGCGGGGTCACACACTGGCGTTCCCAGGCCCTAACCACACATGCCCACCCATAACTGAGGCGCCTCTGGGCCTGCTCGCTCCCATCCTGGCCGTGAGCACCCACCTGAGAGCTGCAGCGTGGAGAGAGGCTGGGCCGTGGCCCCTGCATGACCCTGTGGTCCCCACCCCTGCTCCTGCCACTTGGCCCCGCTGCTCAGATTATTTCCTCCTTGGCCCCAGTTGCTGCAGCACATTGTGGTCCGGGCTTGTTTCCCTGTGTCCTGCCTGGGGCTTGGGCACCCCCCACGGGATGCTCTGGCTTGCTGGTGTCTGCATCTTCGCTCCTAGCATGGTGTGGAGTAAACACCCATCACATGAAAGACCTAGGGGCCAGCTGCCTCTCTCACCCGGACCTCAGCCCTTACTGCTGGGCCTCGCTGGTGGACATGGCCTGAGGGGACACTGACCTGCTGAGCCCTGCGCACCAGGCAGGGCCAGCCCATCTGTGCCACAGACAGTTCGTAGGAGGACTTGTCATGGCAGAATCTGGAATTAGCAGGTGAATGATGGGAAACCCACACAATGGGCCACCAGAGTCATCAGAATAAAAAGCGTCTTGTGGAAAGAGCCACAGCCAGAACCCCGCACGCCACATGGCCCGTGGCAGGGAGCATCCGTGTAGGACACTGTGAGCCTGCTGTGGCATACGACTCCCTCTGAGTGTCAAAGTACAGGAGATCTCGATTCTTTTCTCTCTGATTTTCCACACTTCTGAAGGGTTCTATGACAACCATTTGAGCTGATTTTGGGTGCACGTCCCCATCTTGCTGCTGTGAGAAAAGGCCTCCGGTCCCCGATCCACCTGGTCTGTGTTGACTGAAGAGAATCCACACACCGGGATACACACTGCCTGGCCTCCCAGGTGGTGCTGCTGACCCGGGAGGAAGGAACCAGGCCCCAGACACCTGGCCCTGCCGCTCCCTGCCTGCCTGACAGCCGCCACCACCAGCAGAGCCACCATGCAGACCTGGGCCCCCTCTCCTTCCTGCTGCTCAGCCTCACGTGGAGAAGGGAATCTCACTGCTGGCCCCACAGAGGACACAGCCCTCCCAGGGAGATGGGACTGTGCTCAGGGGGAGGCACCCTGAATTTGCACACACCACATGCACACACACACACGCCATCCACACACCACACCCCACAAGCAACACCACACACACCCCCAGTACCACACACCCCTCAACACCACACACACCACACACCATACACATGCCTTACACACATCCCCAAACACACCATCCACACACCACAAACCACACACATACATCACACTCATGCACTATATACACATGCCATCCACCCACCACATACCACACACACACATCATACACTACACACACATGCCATCCACATGCCACAAACCACACACATGCTATCCATCACACACACACACCATCTACACTATCTACATACTACACATCACACACGTTCACTACACACATGCCATCCACACACCATACACACACCACACTGCTGCATCACCAGCATCCAGAGCCGTGCTTGGCAGGATGCAGATGCTGAATACGCGTGTTTAGATGGAAGGACCGGATGTGGGGAGGAACTTGAGCCTGGCATGTCTGAGACAGATGATTGGGAGTGTGCAGTCCCAGGGAGGTGCTGGCATGAACCCACCACAGCCTCCCAGGCCTCCACCTGCACCTGTCGGGGCCCTTTGTGCTCCCTCTCCTGTCACACCATCCATGCAATCACAAGGTGAGTCGTCTGAAGACACACAACTCACGCAGGACACAACCTCACTGTGAAAACTCCACCTGTGACCAGTAAAGCTGGGCTCCCATCGCCACCTTCTGCCAAACCGAACCCTATCGTCTTCTGTGGGTTGTCCTCCTAGGCTGTTTTACAAACAGCATTTTGTAGATATTCGTTACTCTAGAAATATTATGTTGCTTTGTGGAAGTTTAAAAACAAAGCATACATGAGATAATATCCATGGTTTTGAAGCTTGCTTTTAAAGCTCAATTTATGTTCTAGCTCTTTCTATGTCACAATGAATACATTTATGTAAATGATTGAAATGAAACTAACTAGCTAAGTCTTCCTAAAATTAATGAGAGTTAGCTTATTAATTAATAATGAGAGTTAGTCAATTCTTCACCATTACTGAGACTTAGCTTATTTCCATTTCTTTGCTTAAAATAACATACTATCTTAAAAAGAGAAAGAAACTGTAAGAAAGAGAGAAATGAAAATGCTAAAAATGAAAACACAGTAAAAGAGGTGAAAAATGGCTTTGAGAAGCTTGTCAGTAAACTTAACCTAGCCAGAGAAATCGGTGAATTTGAAAATAGCTCTACAGAAATCGTCCAAATGGAAAACCAAAGAGATAAAAGGAATGGGAAAAACATAGAGCATGTCTCCAAGAGATTACAAGATGTTATCAAGCAGTTTAACCTACAATTGGAATCACAGATGGTGAGGGGGCATGGAAGGAATATTTGAAGACATAATGGTTAATAATTTTCCAAAATCAATGACAGACATCAAAGCACAGATTAACAAAACTCAGAGACAAATGCCAAAAAAGTAAAACAAACAAACAAAACGGAAACAAAAACAAGCACAGAAACCTGTGCATATTCAAGCTGCTGAGGAAAAAAGACATACAGAAACTGTCTGAGGCAACTGGGAGGAGAAGGGAGGTAGAGGGACACATGAGACGTGAGAGAGACAAAGATAAGAAGCACAGCAGAACTATCTGCAGACACTATGTGAGGTGGATGACGATGGAGGGATGGCTTTTTAGTACTGAAAGGAAAGAAAAGTACCGATTCAGAATTCTTTTTTTTTTTTTTTTTTTGAGACGGAGTCTCTCTGTCAGCTGGGCTGAAGTGCGGTGGCGCAATCTCTGCTCACTGTAAGCTCTGCCTACTGGGTTCAAGCCATTCTCCTGCCCCAGCCTCCTGAGTAGCTGGGACTCAGGCACTGGCCACCATGCCTGGCTAATTTTTTGTATTTTTAGTAGAGACAGGGTTACACCATGTTAGCCAGGATGGTCTTGATCTCCTGACCTCGTGATCCACCTGCTTCAGCCTCCCAAAGTGCTGGGATTACAGGCATGAGCCACCATGCCTGGCCTGATTCAGATTTCTTTACCAGTGAAAATAACTTTTAAAAATTAAGGAAGGAAGGGGGAGGCCAACAAACAGGCACTGGCTATCTGAGCAGGGGACTAGGATATCCTGTTCCTTCTGTAGTTTGCTCACCTAAGCCAATTTGAGGCACTTTGTCTTGGAAATGGACCACTGTATACATTATTTATTTCAGACATGAAGAACAATATAGAAAAGGATGAAATGAAAATGAAAATTAAAAAAAAATTTTAATTGCTGCAAATGACAACTATTTCAAGGGAAAATGGTAACATTGTACTGTGTTGATAACATGCTCCAAGGTAAAGCGTGTGATGATAATTCACAGAGGATGGAAGGGAAGAGTTGGGAAAACACCGCTGTTGGGTCCTTACACTATACGTGAAGCAGTCTCACTATCTGAAGATAAACTCTGATTACTTTAAGACTTAACCCTGGGACAGTGAGTACAATTTTCTAAAAGAGGTATAAGTTATAGGACAACAGGGCATAAAATGGAATGATAAAGTATTGCTCAGTTAACCAAGAGAAGGCAGAAAAGCGAGCAAAAGAAGCAAAAAACAGATGTAACAAATAGAAAACACGTGACAAAATGGTAGCTTGTAATCCAATTGTATCAGTAATCCTATTAAATGTGAATGGTCTAGCCATACCAGTTAAAAGATAGATTGTCAGACTGGATTTTAAAAGACAGGATTCAACTACATTGTGTCTACAAGAAATGCACTTTAAATCTAAAGACATATACAGAGTTAAGCATAATACACCATTCAAACACCAGCCAAAAGAAAGGCGGAGTCACTGTCTTCATCTCCGACAAATACATTTCAACATCTACATGGATGTAGATGTAGATCTAGAAGAAGCATCAACATGGATGATGAGGGACTTTGCATAATAATGAGGGTCAGTGCTCCAAGAAGACATCACAATCATACATGAACATGTACCAAACAACAGGGCTTCAAAACCCATGAAGAAGGCTGGGTGCGGTGGTTCACGCCTGTAATCCCAGCACTGTGGGAGGCCGAGGCGGGCGGATCACGAGGTCAGGAGATCGAGACCATCCTGGCTAACACAGTGAAACCCCATCTCTACTAAAAATACAAAAAATTAACCGGGCGTGGTGGCGGGCGCCTGTAGTCCCAGCTACTCGGGAGGCTGAGGCAGGAGAATGGCGTGAACCTGGGAGGCGGAGCTTGCAGTGAGCCGAGATCATGCCACTGCACTCCAGCCTGGGCAACAGAGTGAGACTCCGTCTCAAAAAAAAAAAAACACCCATGAAGAAAAACCCATCGAACTGGAAGGAGAAATACAGAACCTCAGTTATGCTTTAACATTTCATCTCTCTTCTCTCGGTAATTGTCAGACACATGGACAGAAAAATCAGTAAGGATGCAGAGGGCACGACTGACACTATCCAGCATCCAGAGCTGATTGATGTTCATAGAACACACACCCAACAACAGCTTAGAATGTTCTTCTCAAACACGCATGGACGTCACCAAGAGAGACCATATCCTGGGCCATAAGATGCATCTTAACACATTTTTAAAAATACAAATCCTACAAAGTATGCTTTTAGGGCATAGCAGAGTTAAGGAAGAAATAAAAAATAGTTATCTGGAAAGTCCCAACATATTTGGAAATTTTAAACAACACATTTCTCAATAAATCGTATGACTCTTGGGAGACAATTAAAACTTTGTTTAGTTAATTGAAAATAACAGCATATCCACATTTCTGGGGAAAAGCTAATGCAGCACTTAACGGGAAATTTATAGCAGTGAATGTGGAAAAGAAGGAGTGCAAAGAAATGACCCGAGCCTCCAACTGAAGAAGCCAGGAAAAAAGCAAATTAAGCACAAAGGAAGTAATAAATATCAGAACTGAAATTAATGAAAAATAGGAAGCAGACCAAAACAGTAGTGAAAAATTATTGAAGTCAAAAGCTGGCTGTTTCTTGTTTTGTTTTGTCTTCTGGAAATTCTGTCTGGACTGAATTTATTTTATTATTATTATTTTTAATAGAGTCTCACTGTGTGTTGCCCAGGCTGGAATGCAATGACGCGATCTCGGCTCACTGCAGTCTCTACCTCCTGGATTCAAGTGATTCTCCTGCCTCAGCCTCCTGAGTAGCTGGGATTATAGGCGTCAGCCACCATGCCCAGCTAATTTTTGTATTTTTAGTAGAGATGGGGTTTCATCATGTTGGCCAGGCTGGCCTGGAATTGCTGACCTCAAGTGATCCACCCACCTTGGCCTCCCGAAGTGCTGAGATTACAGATGTGAACCACCGCACCCAGCCCAGACTGATTTTTTTTTAAAGGGTACTGACATAAATTTCCAATATCAAGAATGAAAGAATAGAAGAAGGAGAGATCCTGCAGATACTAAAAAGATAGGCCAGGCACAGAGTCCCACACCAGCAATACCAGAGCTTTGGGAGGTCAAAGTGGGACGATCGTCTGAGCCCAGGACTTCAATGTTACAGAGAGCTATGATCATACCGCTGCACTCCAGCCAGGGCAACAGAGTGAGACCCTGTCTCTTAAAAAATAAAAAGGATAATAAATGCTACTGGTGAAAATAGAGAATTTATAAAATACCATTTGTGAACAATTTTAATTTAAAAAACTGAATAGCTTCACATCTGTTGAAGAAATTAAACTCATAATTAAAAGCCATTTAGGAAGAAAACCCCTAGCCCAGATGTCTTCACTGCTAAATATTATAAAATATTTATTGAAGGAAGAATTGCAAATTACAGAAGCTCTTTTAGAACGTAGAGGAGAAAGGGAAACTTCCCAATTCATTTCACGAGGCCTCTATTACTCTGATACCAGACAGAGACACTGCAAGAAAAGAAAACTGCAGATCAATATCCTGCAAAAAACCTTCACAAAATGTTAGCAAAGAAAACCCAGCACTGCAGAGAAAGGATCATCACAATCCTGACCAGCAGGTGCCATCTCAGGGATGCAAGGTTGGTTTAACATTCAAAGTCAGTCAATGTAATTCACTGTATTAGTAGAAGAATTGAAAAAAGTCATGGGATCATCTCCCTACAAAGAATACATCATCTATGGAAAAAGAATACGGCAAAATTAAACGCCCATTCATTCTTTAAAAAGTTCAGGAAGTTAAGAATAGAAGGGAATTTTCTCAGCCTGGTAAAGAGCATAACTTTATACTTAATATTGAAAAACGAAATACTTTCTCCCAAGATAAGGAACAAAAGAAGGATGCTGCTTTCAACATTTCTATATGATATTGCATGGGAAATCTTAGTTTAATTAGGCAAGAAAAAGAAATAAAGGGGTAAAGATTGGAAAAGAAGAAATAAAAAAGTGTTATTCACACATGACATGATTGTGTCTAGGAAATCCTAAGGAAACTCTACACAAACTTTTAGAATTAATAAGTGAATTTAGCAAGGTTTCAGGACATAAGGGCAGCACAGAACAACTGGCTGTGTTTCTGTATACTGGCTGTGAAAAATTAGAAATGAAACAAAAAGCAATACTTACACCACAGCAGGGAACATGAAGACTCTGAAGATTCTTGATCCGAAGGTTCAATATCATGAACATGTCAATTGTCCCTAAATTATGTATAAATACGACACAATTACAAGCTACATGCTAGCAGTTTTTTGGTAAGTATTAGCAAGCTGATTACAAACTCTGTATAAAAACACAAAGGAACAGGAATAGCCAAAACAAGGTTGAAAAAGGAAGAACGAGTGGGAGAATGCTACTCCCTGTCTTCGATAGTTTATTATAAAGCTGCAGTCATCAAAACAGTGCAGTTTGCAAAAGGAAACAAATATAGACCAATACAACAGAATAGAGTCCAGAAATAGATTTGTGTGTACATGATCAATTGGTTTTCAGCAAAGGTGCCTCCTCTTCTCTGGCCCCCCCCCCCACCACCAAGTGGCAGCTGGGATGTGGGAGAGCAAGACCCATGTGGATGGGTGAAGCCACCTGGCCTGCGGTTCCGTCTCTAGCTCAGCTCCAGAGGGGTCAGTGCGGCGCACACCAAGGGACACACCCAGAAGCAGGTCACTGCACTCGGGGAACCGAAATCAAGGGTGCCCCCAGCAGATATTTCTAGGACCTGCAAAGATCTGCACATTTAGGTGCAATGTGTCCATCAGGGGTTATTTCCTGAGTGACATTCTGTCTTGATCAGACTTTCAGGGAAACGTAGCTGGAAAATTAAACCAGTATTAACTTGTCCATATTGATGACAGAAGGTTATGTTAATCTTTTACTCACCTCCCAGAATCGGCTCAAAAGCACCCATCGGACAACACCAGCTCTCGGAAGGGATAAGAACCGGATGGAGCACCCCCATGCTGCTGGTGGGAGCATAAATTGCACAGTCTCTTTGGAGAAGTGGCCCCTCTGATAAAGTGGAACATGCGTGCATCTGACGAGAAGTCCTCTCCTGGGAATGTGCCCCACGGATACTGCTGTATATGTTCTAAAAACACGTGTCCAGGAACCTTCACAGAGCACCATTCATCACAGTCTGAGCCAGAAATAGCCCAGTGTCCCTCAGCAGTCGAATGGAGAAGGTGGTTGTTTCACAGAATGCGGTGACCTTCGGCAATGAGGAGGAAGGTCAGACAGCAGGGCTGAGCCTCACAAATGTCACGGTTGCGTGGGAGGAGACAGACACCTAAGTGCACACAGTTAATGATCCCTTGCACACAAAACCCTTACTGTTTAGTGGTCAAAAACATTCAAAGTGGGCTGGGGGGCAGTGACTCAAGCCTGTAATCCCAGCACTTTGGGAGGTCGAGACGGGCAGATCACTTGAGTCCAGGAGTTCGAGACCAGCCTGGCCAATGTGGCGAAATTCCATCTCTACTTAAAATACAAACATTAGCCAGGCGTGGTGGCACGCCACGCGCCTATAATCCCAGCTACTTGGGAGGCTGAGGTGGGAGAATTGCTTGAACCCGGGAGACAGAGGTTGCAGTGAGCCGAGATCATGCCACTGTACTCCAACCTGGGCAACAGAGCAAGACCCTGTATCAAAACACACACACACACACACACACACACCCCCCACCATTCAAAGTTATTCTTACAGATCATAGAAAAACTGGGGCATTTTCCAATTCGTCATACATCACACAGAGACTAGTCTTCCCTAGACATACAGACTCTCAGAATCCCACCACATGGAATTCATCTGTGTATTTACCAACAACAACTCATTCAGAAATACAAAGATGGGTCAATATTAGGACATCTGTGACCACAAGTCACTGTTTTACTAGTTCAGAACAGAAAGCCATGGGATGCATCAATAAATTCCAAGATATTTAATAAAATTCAACACTTGATGATAAAAACTCTTTTGCTATGGGGCAAAGCATGCTTTCTTTTTCTCTTTTCTTTTCTTTTCTTTTCTTTTTTTTTTTTTTTTTTTTTTTTTTGAGACGGAGTCTCGCTCTGTCCGCCAGGCTAGAGTGCAGTGGCCGGATCTCAGCTCACTGCAAGCTCCGCCTCCCGGGTTTACGCCATTCTCCTGCCTCAGCAACCCGAGTAGCTGGGACTACAGGTGCCGCCACCTCGCCCGGCTATTTTTTTGTATTTTTTAGTAGAGATGGGGTTTCACCGGGTTAGCTAGGATGGTCTCGATCTCCTGACCTCGTGATCCGCCCGTCTCGGCCTCCCAAAGTGCTGGGATTACAGGTTTGAGCCACCGCGCCCGGCCTCTTTTCTTTCTTTTTTGAGATAAGGTCTCACCGTCACCGAGGCTGGAGTGCAGTGGTGTAATCATGGCTCCCTGCAACCTTGAATTCCTGGGCTCAAGCAATCCTCTTGCCTCAGCCCCCTGAGTAGCTGGGACTATAGGCACGTGCCACCATGTCCAGCTAATTTTTGTATTTTTTGTAGAAATAGGATTTCGCCATGCTGCCCAGGCTGGTCTTCAACTCCTGTGCTCAAGTGATCTGCACACTTCAGCCTCCCAAAGTGCTGGGATTATAGGTGTGAACCACCGTGTCTGGCCAGCATGCATTCTTAACTTGATAAAAGTTATCTCCCAGATATTTAAAATAGATTGTGAAATATTTTGCATTCCTTTTAAAATCACCAAAAACAAAAGGATAAAATTTGGTAAGAACAAATGCTTGATACTTCTTGAGATCCTAGATGATGCGATCAGATAAGGAATGAGACGGAGAATAAGATGTTATTTGCAGAGACAGTTATTTGTCCATCTAGAAACTCCGAGAGAAATCAGTCAGAACATGGCAAAGATATCAGAATAAATAAAAGTTGGGGATGATGGGCATGGGCAAGGTGAACGTCAAAACAAACCAACAGTTTTCTTATACATCAACAGTAACTAATATAGTATGATAGAAAAAATGTCTTCACAATAGTCCTGAAACATGAAATGCCCACAGTGAGCCTTGAAAGATGTGCAAACAGCTTCATCAAAAGGACAAACTTCTACCAAAGGATTGGAAAGCGTCTCTGTAGACGTGAGAGCCCCTTCGTTCCGGCAGCGAAGTCCAAAGGTGAAAAGCAGAGCTTTCGATGTTAGAAGGAGGATGGGACACCCAGTGGTCCCCAGGCCAGTCAGCTTAGGGCCCCATCTCGTCATCACCCTGCCTGTCCCCTGCTCTCCGCCTGCTCCCTGGATCACAGTCCCCATAAAGCTCTTGCACTTAACCCTTTTCTCAGGCTGGAGTCTCCAGGGAACCTACCCAGGACATCCTGTAAATTCACAGCTGGGGAGTTTACACCAAGGGGTGGTGAAGCGGGAGAGGCACACTCAGCCTCTGCAGCCGGCCTGCCTGGCCCATGTCCACTTGCTTGCAAGGACCACGGCAGACGCTCGCCCCTCTGACCTGTCTGTCCTTATCTGAAAAATGGCAGTAATAACAGTTTGCCTCCTGAACCAGCTGTGGGGATCCAACCTGATAATCCACTGAATCTCAGCACTGGGACCTGCAGGAGCCGAAGTGGAGAGAGTGTAGGCCAGGGTCTGATCCCGTTTTGGAGACCGGGTTCACGGAGCGGAGGCCGTTTTCCCCAAGCCTGCATGGCCACAAGGGAAGAGCTGGGATGGGAGGTAGACAGCTGAAGAGTGCCTGCTCAGCCCCTGACCCCACAAGCGACAGGGACTCAGGCTCAGCCCCCACCCTGACAGCCAACGGCAGCCCAGGTTCAGCCCCCACCCCGACAGCCAACGGCAGCCCAGGCTCAGCCCCTAATGCCTTGTGGCCAATACCATCCCAATTTGTGGCTTGTCTTTTCACCTTTAACTTTGGGTCCTTTGACAAATAGTTCTTTTTTTTTTAAATGTAGCCAAATGTATCCATTTTTAATTTTAGAATAGAAAATACCAGGAAGCATTGCACACTCTAAGGGTAAGTGTTGGTTCATAGTCATTGGTTGTGCTGTGTGTGCGCACTAGGTTGCTGTGGACAGTGCGTGCTCGGAAGATTTGGACAACACTCAGAGAAAGGCTTGCACACATGCCCCTGGTGACACGCACAGCAAAGCTTATAGGAGAAACACTGGGAACAGCCAAGTGTCCTCAGGAGCGGGATGCTGTGCAGTGGCACAAATGGACTTCAGGGACTTCAGATGTGCCGGCAGATCCGCACCTTCCGTGCTCCACTCCGCTTGGCACCTGCAAACTTCAGTCCCCAGGCTCACTTGCCAAGGGCTGTCCACGAGCTTCGGCCCATGGCAGGGCTCAGCGAGAGGCTGGAAGGCAGGAGGGAAACAGAAGCCACGGTGCGTCTCCTGCAGCGTCTGCTCCAGGTACCACAGCGCAGTGTCCTCTCCTCCGTCTCCTCCGTAGTCCCAACACCCACCTGGGAGTCGGCCGGGGTTCCTGGCGGTGCCCAGCTCCTGGCTCTGGTTGCACCACCTCCTCTCTTGCTCCCTCCAGCTCAGGAGACAGTGGTAGCTTCCTGCTATTGTCTGTGGCTGTCTCTGCAGCCCCCGCTTGGTGTTCCAGCCTTCCCACGCCTTTGAGTCCAGCCCCCGCCGTGCTCTCCCTCCACTGAACGTCTCACTGCGGATTCCATTTTCCCGACTGTGTCCTGAGTGATCCGGGAAATTTGCCATGAATGGATGTCAGAAATACATTAAGGGGAGAATGTAGTCATAGAACACATAGCCTGAGGTCTTCTCTATGAAGCTCAGAAAACCAGCACTAAACAGCACGTGAGATCCACACCGCTGGGGCTAAGCTCTAGCAGAAAGCTGTGGAGAGAGACCCTCGGGGAATGGAACGTCCCACTTCTCAAGGCAGGTGGTGCAGCACTTTTGGGGCCTCCCCCAGACCCTGGGGCCTAACTGGTTCAGGGCTCAGCCCACATCTCCCGCTCTTGCCTGGGGACTTTCTTTCGGAGGTGCAGCCAGCCAGAGCCCCCAGCTCAGCTCTCCAGGTGAGCTAGTACCGAGACACGGAAGGGCCCCTCCATGGCTGCGTCCTCTGGGTCCGGTCTCCGCCCGCCCTGCCTGTGCCTCCAGGGATCACCTCCTTGCCTGGGAGCCTGGCCTCAGACTCCACCTCTGGACAGTGGTGTGTTTCGGATGGTTTTTATGTTATTCTGTAGACCACGCAAACACATTGCACACACACCTGTGGATGCGTGGTGTAGCATATCTTACAATACACAAAGTCAACAAAAAACCTTAAGACCGAACTACAAATGCGGATGAATTTTTACGATGAAGTTGAGCTCTCTGGGGACGTTGTCAGTGGAGGGACCCGTCCAGACCCAACTCCCCTGCTCTGCCTTCAGGTGCCGTCGGGGGGACACGTGGTGTTTCTAGCCCCTCAACTCGTGGGAGGAGACCTGGGGGTGCTGGGAGGGACGGGGTGGGAAGGGCGAGGACTGTCACGTCCAGGACGCGGGGGAAGGGGCTGGGGGGGGGCGAGCAAGGGAAGGCGGTGGCCGTGGCAGCCTCACGCTGCGGACCCCCCCAACCCGGCCCCTCTCCTCTCCGTCCTGCCCTCCCCGCCGTGGTCCCCCTCTTCTCTCCGAGCTCCTGTCCTGCCCCCACATCTGCCTCCCCTTCTCCTGTTTCCTGTCCGGCCCTTCCCTCCACCTCGGCCTCCCTCGAGGGATTTCTGCAGATGAAGGAAAAGGGAAAGAACCAGCGCATCGCCCTGCCCCGCGAGGGGAGGCAGAGGCCAGCGTGCCCTTTGCCCGGCCCTGCAGGACCCCCGGCCTTGGCACATCCTCGCAGCGACTCCCGCTGCCGCGGGACGGCGGTTCTGGAAGAGTCCGCTGGGCTTGCCGCTGGCTCTCCCTGCCTGCCTTGGAGCCTGGAGCCGCACGGAGCCCTCTGTGTGCCGCTCAAGTCGGCGCAGAAATCCCCGAGCGCAGCCTTCCGCACCCCTTAACTCACTCAGGGCGCCCCGACCCACCGCCAGCCCGAAGGCCCGTGCTGTGGGCTGTGGAATGCGTGGAGGGGGGCCCAGCGGGCCCACTCGGGGGGCACTGGCAGAGTTTGGAAGGCCCGGGGGGCGGCCTGCAGGCGGAGTGCCTCTGTGTGCCCCCGCCTTGCTGTCGGGGATGTGGGCCAGACCCTAGTGCCGGTGAAC